GGAATCTCTGAGAGTGCTCTGGGAACTCAAGGTGAGAGAGATGCTGGTGGAACAGCTGAGGGTGGAGCTGGTGATTCTAGAGATCCAGATAAATCCTTGCCAATCCCTACTCACTCAAGGCAACCATCTTGGCTAAAGTTTAATTCTATATGAAAACAATCCTGGAGATACATTTGAGAAGTCAGGGACTCCGGGGTTCTTCTTAGAAGCTCCCTACTGGCCCTTGAACCTCAGCAGAAYGGATGCTTGCTCTGGTTGGAGAGCAAGCAACCACACCTCCCTCTCTCTGATTCTCAGTTGCTTTGAATTTCACTGGGTCCTCTGTTTTCCAGGTAGGGACTTGTTTTCTCTGCTGAGGTAGGACACTCACAAAGGCCTCGGCTAAGGACTCCAGAGGTTCTCCAGCTATGCACAAAACACCTGGGCTTCTGTCATGTCCACACAGGGCTGTAAGATCTCAGAGGCACAGTGGGCTGAACCCTGGGGATGAACCATGGCTGAACCTGATCTGGGATTAGGTTGCATTTGGCTCTGCTGCACTGTATTTCAAGTGCAATTGCAAGTTCTTTTAAGCAGACACATTTTGGATCTGGGGCATGTGAGATGTAAGGTAGGGAATTCCTAGAGAAATGTTTTTGTTTGGTTGTTTAKACTCCTTCAAGGTCTATGTGGAAATATTCTTTGAAATGACCAAAAATTGTTCCTTGCACTCCTTTGTTTTATGGGACTTCCCCACATGTATCCCTAAGAATTTCTGAAATTAAACTTTTTTTTTTTTTGTGGCATGATGAGTGCCTTGAGTAATTGGGGACTGTCAGGGATCCATCTGACATTATAAAGCCACCACCTCTATTCACTTGTACTTTGGCCTGGAGTACCTGTACAAGTCTTATTGGTACCTCGAAAGTGTGGCCCAAGACTTCATATATTGCTGTTCAAACGAGGTTGAGTCAGAGATTCTAATGGGCCCAAGCACCAACTCTGCGATAGTAGATTAACTACTGATTRCTGGGGCCACAGCTCTGGAGAAAGCAGCAAAATAGAGAGCAAGCAGCCCTGGCAGGAAGACAAACTTGTTTCCAGTTAGATTCTCAGTGGCTCCCTGAGACAGGGCCCAGGCAGCTCAAGGTCATCAGTATCTGATGAGAACTGGCCAAGGTCTATCAATATTCAGGGAGTCACTTCCTGACCTSTGTAGGGGCCGACAGCTGCTTCCAAGTTCTAGGGACTTATTTTCCAGAGGACGGGGAACCAACTTGCTGCCAGATCCCCTAGAATGTTGAMGATCCAGTGATTTGAGCAAGGATCACTAGACCAAGCATATCTTTCCACATTCGTAATCTATGTGCAACATTTTTTAGCCTAAGCAAGCAACTGTGGGCTGGCACTGCTGCCACAATGGATAACTACAGGTGGCTGCAGGCTGAGGGCATGGCTGTGCTGCTCCAGGGCAGGGGCTGCTAGTCATCAGGGGAAAGGAGAAACTGGATAGATTGATAAATCTTTGGAAGAAGGCTCCAGCGTGGTAAACCAATCATTTTAACTACTTAACCAAATCAACTATTTTAACTGCTTCTGAAAATGGAATTTCAGCAGCCTGTGGGGATGTTCCAGGACAATGCTGCCACCCTCTGGAGGACTAAAAAGGGAGGGTCCTAGGYCTGGTGGGACAGGCTGCAACATATCTCAGGGATTATATTGTGTGGTTCTCTGCATCTACAGAGAGCTCTGGACAACAGATGGTAAGTCTTCAATGRTCCTGGAACTGACTCTATAGCAGGTGCTAAACAAAAACTGGGCTTTTTAATAATCAAGTGGAAAAAGCCAAATTTGGGAATGTGGGGAAGAAGCTGGGTCTAACTAAAGTGGAAAAAATTTTAGGCAGCACAGAAACAAAAGAGAAATTATTGACTAGAAAAGGTCTAGGGCTCCCCTGTTGTGGAGAGATCTCTAGAGACTAGGAACTCATTGTGCATCCCCCAGGTAATGGAGAGAGGCCACTTAAAAGCTGAAAGGTGGGAGAGGGTAGGGCCAGAGCGAGGGGATGGGGTTTGATATTTGCTCAGGTGACATTTCTGCTCTGTGGTGGACTGGCTAGCCTCCCATGAGTCCAGAGTTGAGGGGATGAAAGCCTATCTTTTCAACAGACACCTTAGAGGTAGTATTCAGAATGAAAAGGAAAAAAAAAAGTTACTTGTTTGTTTTCCAGGCCTTGAAAACATTGGGAGAAGTATAAGCTGGGAGAAGTACAGGAACTCCCCCACAAGTCATGGGGCCCTCAATGTGGAAATACATGCATTTATATCCTTATTAAAGAGGTACCTAAGGGCCTTTTGAACATACGAACAGCATGTGAAGGGAATGCAAGATTGTGGGGTATTGTCTTATATTCAGGGGCTCCTGGTGAAGGGAAAGAAAGGGAATATAGTATTCAAGGTCTGCTAACCTTTGTTCTTGGGGACAAGTGCAGAGTTGTGCTTCCTTCTCTCCTTCTGGTTCACAGGAATCCTAGGCTCCTCAAGGCTTGAAGAAGACAGAGCCCCTGCATCCTGAGGCTTTTTTGGCACTTGAGATTTCTGCTTTTGCTGGAGGTGATCAGGGCAGATATTGTGGACACTGGCTGTATCAGTTGACTGAATAGCAGAATGAATTAAAGGTTTCTGACCCAATTGTGACAGACTGGGGCCAGATGCCTGTGAAAACTGTCTGGAGTCCCGGGAATCCTGCTCATAAGACACACCTGATGTGGACAATGTGTCTAGGCAAGCAGAGCTCTGCAGTGACCCCAATAAAGAAGGGGAGATCTGGTTGTTGTCACACTCCAGCAATTGCTGAATGTCCAGAGCTAGAGAATTGCAGATTTGGCAGCCAGGATCTGCACACAGGAGCCGCCGTATACTTTCCACCTGGGGAAGCCAGCCRTGGCTGGGAAGGGAAACATGGCAACTGTTAAGGATGGAGTGACATCTGCCTCTTTGCAAGAATGGGCTGGGGATTGTTGCATCCACTCCCAGTCCTACAAGTCCTATACTCTCTGGGTGTCTACCCATCTGCTCTTATTCCTAGGAAATGCCATTTGGCAAGGGATGATGAACTAGGCTAAGGTTCTGGAGCAAGCTCTCAGACAACCTATGGAAGGGCATAACTCTCAGAGAAGATGGGAAGCTGGGATTAGTTCTCTGCTGACCTCAGTGAGAAGCTGAATTGAATCAGACAGATGGAGTAGCTGAGTAGTTAGTTAATGGGACATCACCAGAAACATTATTAGGTAAGACCAATATTAGTTTCATTTGTGGTAAAAAAAAAAAAAAAAAAAAAAACCTGAAGTCCAGGACTCATTACATCCAAACTGTAGAAAATGAGGTCCTCACTTAAAGGAATATGGGATAACCAGCATTTGTTAGGTATCAGTCCCATTCTCTAGAAATCTTGATAGGATAAGATGATATATTCCTGTTTGAGTGGCCCCAGGAACTCTCCTCCCTGAAGACAAACCAGAGGATGTAATGTCAGCAGGGTCCAGGAAGACCCAGGGAATCTTTCCTTGAAAATGTGTAGCTCTAAGAGAATATAACAATGATGCTGTCTTTCAAAACCCATTCTCTTAATGGGATAATTTGTCTCATGGCTGAATGCAACTCCACGTAGTGCCTTTTATGACTTAAACACTGATCAAATCCTGAATTGCAAACTACAGTGATCCTAGCAAAGAGTAGAATTGGACGACTCTGTTCCCTTCCCTTCTGAAATGTCTGAAACCCTGTTGGCCCTGACAACTCTAAATAATTAAACCAGCCTCTACCATGTATGTCTCTTCTCAACCATTATTCCTCTCCTCATTCCTGCTCCAACAAAGGCCAAGAGAACATTACAGTCCAGGCTGGGAGTTTGGAGACTGCAAAGAGCAAGAGATCACCTTTTCATGACAGAGAGCAGCTTCCTCAGCTTCTCAGCTTCTTCCTGGGAAGTTTTCTTAGCTGAGGAACCAGGAGACAGTGTTAGGTAGAACAGCAGAGAATTCAGGGACATCCTATAAGGAAGCTAAAGGCTTTTGAATGAGAGGAGACTGAAAACCCCATCATTCAATGCTCTAAGTCAAATCTGTGTGCAGCTTAACCATCTATAACAACATGCTCTCCCTAATCTTGTCTGATCTTTACAACCACATTGAGTGGACAAGATCACTGGTGCTACACCCACTTTATGGAGAACAAGACTAAGAGATGAAATTATTTCCACAGGGTTATAAAACTAGTAAATGACACAGTTAATGACATCTGTCCTACATTTTCATTCTTAGGAAGGTAAAATAGAATTTTGGAAGGTTCCTACGCTCTGATTTCCCACCCATGCAGGTCTTTTGTTAGCAGTTGCCACTGGAGGTATTAAAGGCTGCAGTGGTTAGAACACATGGCTTCTGGCACCAGGGATCACAAAGGCTCTATGGGGACCTCAGTCACAGTGGAGTGGAAGGGCTTTACCTTTTGATGTTCTATCTTTAGACTTTTGTTTGACTGCTCCATGATGCTTAAAGACAAAAACATTAGAATGTGAAGTTGGGTCACCATTTCCTTTTTCATGTCTAAAATGATACAAAACCCATTAGCATTTCTCAATATTTTTCTGTATTCCATTTAATACTCTTCTGTCATTCTTTTACATATACTATCTTTTTTACCCAAACTTTTCCCTTCTATGCTTATTTCTGACTCACTTTGAAGTTCTTCCAAACTCCATACCTTCCACTCCTATTTCATGGACAAATTTTGTGGGGAGTTCAGGATGAGATAGAAGGAAAAGTGAAGAGATTAAAGGATGGTGGTGAAGGTCCTAAATGGCCCCCAACCAGGATAATGACCCAAATTGGGAGCTGTTCTGGGATCCAATGAGAAAACCCCCATTAAAAAAAATCAAGGGGTAAGGATATAAGAGAAAATGAGGGGATAAAATCTTCTTAATGGAGGCTTATCCATTCGTTTATGATTACAGTATTTCCCTACCTGGCAACAGGTCTCATTAGGTTCCGACTTTAATTTTTGGCGCCTCTTTTTCACTTGCCAAATAATTAATGCAATAATGAAGATGGATCCATAGGTATAGAAGGGATATCCCGCATCCCATACAACAAAGGCAGGAATCAACATGACCTAAACCTCACTAGCCATCCCTCTTCCTAGGCTTCCAGGGTCTTGGAACCTAATGCCTCCAGATTCTAGGCATTGTCACCTCTGCCTCACAGATGGATCAAGACCAACATACTACATCACAAAGCCCGCCTGTTTCACAAAGCAGGTACAGCATCATAGACTTTCATCCTACAGAAACTCATTGGTGATTCATTGTTCAAATGAGGATGTCTAGTTATCTATATAGGCTGCAGAGCCTGGRATAAAAGATACCAAGTTCGATAGCAGCATACACTCTTCTAGCTCTCTCTATTYCCTGTATCCTGATGCTCAGCTCTCTATTACTACAATAGTGTGGAAACTATTCACCAGATAACTGAATATGCATACTGTATATACTTTAAGAGAGTGGCTAAGTCAGAGAAACGAACTACATTATTTGTAACTGGGACAATAACCAAAAAATACACACCAAGATAAGTCCAGCATAATAATTGTTATGTCTTGAAATCATATTTTTTTTGACCTCACGAGCAATAACAGGTATCAAGAAGTTCAGAGCCCAGTGTGGTGGTGTATAYCAGTAATCCCAGTGGCTCAGGAGGCTGAGGCAGGAGGATCGCAAGTTCAAAGCCAGCTTGAGAAACTTAGTGAGACCCTAAGCAAGTCAGCAAGACCCTGTCTCAAAATTCAAAAATGAAAAAAGGACTGGGGGTGTTGCTCTGTGGTTAAGCACCCCAGGGTTCAATCTCCAATAGGAAAAAAAAAAGTCAGGAAGATCATGTCAGATGTTATCAAAGAAAGCATGAACCTGCTGTCCTTTCAAAATATTTATGAGAGCTAAAGACCCCTCCAAGGCCTGGTGGTCCAGTATGAGATGAATCGAAAGAGATCGTAAATATCACCTTCCACAAAGGCACATGAATAAGGCTCATTTTGGGAGCTCTGTCCAAAGCTTTATTTTCCAGAATTGCCTCTACAGATCTTATGGTATCTGGCTTATTCATAGAGATAGGTTATTGGCAAGACTTTTGATTAAGTGGTTCTTTGTGGAATCTGCCACCATTGGAATGTTTGGCTGAGTGTTTTATGAAGATCTGAATTTTCATAAAAATTTAGGCATGGGAAAGATTTCCTCCATTCAATCCAAGTACCCCACCATTCCTATATCCACTGATTCACATATGAATGTTAACTTTATGGCTCCTGGCAACATGATAGTATATCTCCAACACCTCAAGATTTCTGAATTTCCTTGAGAAGTTCTTGCCTTGGTAAATTGGTAGTCTGAGGCTCAAAATCTCTGAAAAGGTCACTTGGTCCTTCCTCCAGCATCCAGTCCTCCACCAAACAGACATGGTAAGTACTTGATTTGTGCTCATCCCTGAGATAGACAAAGGTAGAAWGACATTTAAGTTATGTTGCCTGCCTGCCCTCAAGAAACTTAAAAATCTAGTTTGAAAGGCAAGATTAATTCACATGAAGCAAAAGCCAATCTTACAGGGGGCTAGGGAGGGGAAAAATACAGAATTAGTGTTTAATGGTCACAGAGTTTCTGTTAGAGATGATGAGTAAGTTCTGGAAGTGAATAATATGGTGATTATACAACACTGTGAAACTCTTCATGCTGCTGAATTGTACACTTAAAATGATTAAAATGCTAAATTTTGTTCAAGTATGTATTATCCCAATTATGAAACAAACAACTGAAAAACAATCTTAAAATTCATAAAACGAATGACCCAGAAAATCAAAGCCATTCTCAGCAAAAAAAAAAAGATGAAGATATCACAATATCCAACTTCAAATTATACTACAGAGCCATAATAACAGAAACAGCTTGGTATTGGTATAAAAATAGACACATAAGGGCTTGGATTGTAGCTCAGTTGTAGAGCGATTGCCTAGCATATGTGAGATACTGGGTTCAATCCTCAGCAACACATAAAAATAAATAAATAAAATAATGGTATTGTCTCTGTCTAAAACTAAAAAATAAAAACAAAAATAGACACATAAACCAATGGAATACAATAGAAGACAAACCCCATGTAGTCATAGTCATTCAATTTTTGACAAAGGTACCAAAAACTTACATTGGATAAAACTTACATTGGATAGCATTTTTTAACAAACAGTGCTGGAAAAACTGGGTCTCCAGATGTAAAAGATTGAAACTAGATCCATATCTCTCATCCTGCACAACTCAACCCAAAATGGATCAAAGACTTAGGAATAACAATAGAAACTTTGCTGCTGCAGAAGAAAACACAGGGGAAACACTCCACCATAGAGGTGCAGGCAGTAACTTCCTCATAGGACTCCTATAGCTCAGGAAATAAAACCAAGAATCAATACATGAGATGGRATCAAACTAAAAAGCTTCTGTATATGAAGGAAATAATTAAGAGCATGAAGAGACAGACTACAGAAGGGGAAAAAAACCTTTGCCAGCTACTCTTCCCATGGAGGATTAATATCTAAAATACATAAAGACCTCAAAAAAACTCAAGATCAAAAACCAAACCAATAAATGGATAAATGAACTAAACAGGCACTTCTCAAAAGAAATAAAAATGATCAACGATTATATGAAAAAAAATGTTCAACATCTCTAGCCATCAGGAAAATGCAATTCAAAACTACACTAAGATTCCTTCTCACTCCAGTCAGAATGGCAATCATCCATAACAATAAATGTTGTGAGAGTAAAGTGTGCCTGGGTTTAATTCCCCAGTACTGAAAAAAAATGAAACTAAAAAACTAAAATGAAACTACCATATGATCCAGTGATATCAACTCCTCACAATAACCAAGGTATGAATCAGCCTAAGTGTCTGTCAACAGATAATAAAGAAAATGTAGTACATATACACAATGGATTTTTATTCAACCATAAAGAAGGATAAAATTATGCCATTTGCAGGAAAATGGATTGAACTGGAGAGCATTGTTTTAAGAGAAATAAACCAGACTCAGAAAGATGAATGCCATGTGTTTTCTCTCATATGTGGAAGATGGAGACTTAAAAAGCAGGGGGAGGTAGAGGGACCTCATGAAAATAGAAGGTAGACCATTAGGGTAGAGGATGGGGACAAGGGGAAAGGAGGACAGGTAGGCAAAGGGAAGTACTGGAGGTGAACTTGATCAAATTATGTTACATGTATATACAAGTCTGCCACAATGAAACCCATTATTCTGTATAATTAATATGCACCAATAAAAATGTTTAAAAACCCAAACAACCAAAAAAGTCATAGCATGAGAGGGTTTTTGCTAGCTATATGGAAAAATATTCTGAAAATGATTTGACAAAGAAATGGATGAGTGAATGAATATTTTTCCTAAGCTTCCTTTTCTTTGCTTTCTTTCTTTTTTTCTTTTTCTTTTTTTACTAATACCTCACTCTCCTTCCAGCCACTTCTCCTAGAGCGACAGGTACATCAGAACTTTCACACAGCTTATTGCAGATATTGTCACTCTTATGTCCATGAAAACAAAATAGATCTTTACATTAAAGATGATTTTTTAAAAGTCCTATCTGAAGATGAGATGAATTTGAGCCATTTCAACATTTTTTCTGAACTTGCAAATTTCAAAATATAAGAATGAGAAGAAGGGGAAAAAAATCTTGTTCAGCCAAAGAGCACTGAACAACAGGATACCAGAAGTCAAGTAAAAAGCAGCTTGTGTCAGCTTTTCAGTAGCAGGTAAACATACCTGCAAAGTAGCTTGTATCTTTTATAGGTTGGCTATCCCTGCCAAAATCCAGAGAACTCCAAAATCCCCC